AGGAGGGCGTATTGTTTTCTAGCTTTAAGATTTAAAACAAAATTTTGCGATCTCTCTCTTCCTTTCTCTCTCTCTCTCTCTTTCATAGACTATTGGAATTTCTGGTTCTAATTGTGGCAGGTTTCGTAGATACGTTTTTAGATGAAAAGCCTCACGCTGAGCGCCACAGTCGGTGGACCAAATTGAAAAGAAGCCATGAAGTCAATTAAGAGCGTCAATTACGACTTGAAAGGAAGACGCTCATGCGTTTAAGGAATTATATATACATATATATATACGAAATTATATATACATATGTATAGATGCTTACACTCCTTTGTCTTCAATAGAATATCTATATCGAATCTATATCGAAATAATGTGGAACATTTTATGTTACTATTACGAGAATTTTCACGTTACTTTAATATCGTATAAAATTACTTTTAGAATTTATCTTGCACTGTATGAAATAAGCGGATTTCCCGTACGAGCTTTAGGAAATCGTCTTTATTAATGCGTTTTAATTGAAATCCATATTCGAGATTTCATTGATATTCGTTTTACAAAGCCATAAAACGTGTATACTCACTGTCTACCTTATTGATTGAAAGTTATGTTGAAGTACAGACGTCTGTATTGCAGATCTCTTTTATCTTTTATTGGCAAATTAGTATAAGTGTGTGTTACGGAAAATTTAATTCCGTAAAAATTACATTATCCGTGCTTCTTTCCTTGTCAGTGCAAATCAGTATAAAATACTACTCAGAAGATGATTTCATTTATCTGATCGAAGAAACAAGATTAATCGGATTTCGGCCGCGGATGTCGCTCATAAAATTCTGTTCCGTAGAAGTCTGTTTCGTTAATCCTCTAATCTACTTTTTTGGTGTCTAAACAAGAATTATATAACGTGAAAGCAGCAAACATTAATCTTCGGATATGAGTGTGGGATTTTAAAGTTACATGGCGTTACAAAGGGTTAACTTTTTACGTCATAAATAAAATATTGCGGGAGCAACGGTCCGTTACGGTGCCAAGTTTCCGGAATATACTATTTGTTGCTTCTCAGGGTCGAACGAACAATGACAGTATCATACCAACTATTTCCGGCACACCGTCGCCAAGGGCATTCTGTACAAATCCGATCCTCACTGCCAAGGAACTCATTTCCTTTGTTCTATTCACATAAGTTGAGGAAAAATAAAGATATAGAGCAATCAGACTCCATACCTTAATATGAAGCTTACTTTTTATTTCTCTTCATTTTATATTTTATATATAACTATTTATTCTAATCTAAATATCTAAGATGATATCTTTAAAAGAATTTTCTTTTTTTATACATAAATAATGTAAATACTGCCTTTGAAATACATGCAATGACAACGCGCATACAATTGTTGATATTACAATAATATCAATAATTTCAACGAGTAAATTAAACTATAGTAACAAATTCATGAAAGTCACGATCGGAAATATTTTACGTTTAACAACCACTCAAGAATATTAATAAATTTTACGAGTCAATTTTAGATTACTGAATTACATTTTTTAAAAAGAATCTATCCTAAAAGTACGCAGATCAAAGGTCATCGGTCAATGAACGATGATGCATTCGACATCTCTCGACGCACAATCAATTATTTAATGAAAGAAAAACGTGTCACCTACTATACTGTAATAAAAATAAACAATCCGTACATCTTTGCCAAGTATACGTAATTTACAAGAATAGTATGCCAATGTGTCTAGAAAGCACTTTCCTGCCTCAAGTGATGACTCAAATATTCTAATCAAATATTTTTACGATTTCCTCAAGTATGATTTCTCAACATAATTTATTTACTACCATTTTTATAATTATTTTATTGCATTATAATTCTGTATTTTTATAAACAATACTTAAAGACCGATATATCGATTGAAGATTCTATCGATTAAAATGTCTCCATATGCATATATTCATAAATAAAATTGTGAACCGCAACATGAAGCGGACAGACAGATTATAAAACGTCTTTGGCGATTATGAAATATCTTTATGACATCTTGTGATACTTGCGAAATAAAATGATAATATAACACCGGCTATTTTTTGTAAGCTTAATCGAACGCTAATGATAGAAGCTCAAACGTTTAGAGAATGCAATCATGTTGCCAAGCGTGCTTTTTATTGATAGACATACTCCTTTTACAAGTCTAAGTCTGATGCACTTGTGTAAGTACGAATTCGGCTTCCGAGAATTCTATGCATTTCTTTATTTTTAACATGCAATTTATTTTCAATTTCCGTGAACTTTATCCCTCCTTGTAATCTCACAGGATTTTAGAACACTTAAATTTATTGTTCAACTAGATTCTCAGAATGTTTGCACTCTTATTTCCGCGTGAGCTAACATTGCATCAAGGTCAAGGCTCCCATTATCAAATCACTATTCAAAGACGTGCTCACGAACAAAGACATAAAACTCCTTAACGATACCGATCGTCTTATTAAGATTTTACTTTATTCCTTTTTTATAGAAAGATCAATGTGTTTTTATATACGTAAAATTTTATAAAAACCATCACTTGTGGGTCATAAGATATTTCAGTTAACGCTCGATTAACTAACTTCTCTACACTGTTAAATTTGTAGTGACTCAATGAGTGGTCGCCAATGCTCCAATTCAATAGGTTGTCACTTTTAACTATCGAGTGTAGTAAAATTTATTATTTTAACGCAAATTGTAGTTAAAAAGCAACTACATTTTTTATTCAACCCATTTTACGGATTCTTTTAACCCCATTGTTTAATTAAATTAACGATATATTAAGTAGGGGCAGTGATTACTACTCATTAAGTTAAATTTAACAGCGCAAATTTAACAGTGCGCCTAATATAAAGGCCGATCCCAATTTATTTCTACTACGACGAGTAGAGGGTAGCAAATTTTTCTACACAAAGAAAGAATGCGCAACGCGCACGGGGCAAAATAATTGAAATCTCTGGCGTTGAAAGATATAAATATGTGACAGATGAAAAGAAGATACCTCGCCGACTTTCCTTTTCACTGCTGACGAATGGGGTTCATCCGCGGGGGTGACACTTAGCACTGAACAGAGATACGAGCGTACTGCCAGATGCAGTTGGCAGTGCAGGCTAGCGCAACGTGTGTACGGTGTCAATGACGACGATGCATGTGGATATACGTGGTCCACGAAAATAGTGTCACGTGTAAGCGACAACTGCACCGGATGCGTGGATGTACGCGGGCACGACGGCGTGCACGACGACGAAGAGGTGCGTCATCCACTGGACGTAGGGGCAAGAACACAGGCCTACCCTTCTTTATGCATCCCCACCCCGCTGTACGAGCACGCGTTCGCGGTATGCACCACGTAAGTGCATCGGGCTGCATCTTTTAGATACGCTATTCTTATTTTGCGCGACATCGGGTTCGTCACGGGAAGAATATTAACAGTTGCACGATGAAAATGAGAGAAAATTTAAATTCTGTAAGTGGAATGCAGATTGATTTCTGACGATTACGTGCACATTGTCAGCAAACGCGTAAATTATTCCTGAAGGATTCCTTGGAGGAATGATGCGATAAATTTTACGCCACATGCAAAATAGCTTAATCAAGCCGTGCTAAATTATTTATTTCTTATCTGCAAACACCTGTGTATTCTGTACTTATAGTTTCAGTTGTTTAAGTATATTTTTATTGAGAGAGAGAGTGTCTTTACAAGAAAGTAATTATTTTTTAAATAAAATAAATAGGCTTGTAACGCGTAGGAAAGTATAAAGGATACCAGTCCACAACAAATCAATGTTCATAAAGCACTCGCTGGTTTCTGTTGTACATAATGCAACAATCCACAACGCTAATGTGTAATAACTCTGGCTAAACGCCCGCTATTTGTTTGCTCTTTGACAACGTTGAATCGCTGGGCAAATGGATGCAACGGAAAATTTATCGTCCGAAACAAAAAAAAATAAGTAGTTGCTCTAAATGTTTGCCTGCGTACAGTTTTTGTCTTGCCAGAAATGAGTATTCTGTAGTTTCAGTGAAATCTCAAGTTCACTTTAAACAGTTTAAACGATTTACAATTCACGCCAGATTTTAAGATAGAATTCTATTTATAATTTTATACGCCGTGTATTTTAGCATGTGTATCTATTTTAGTAGATGTTTTATATGCGTTACATTCCGACTTTTTAAATGTCTTTCGTATACAAGCATATAAAATTAATTGTGTGCGTCGAATTTTATTGTAGACTTTATCTTGAAACTAAAGTGGACTTTAGCTAATTTTCTTTTACGCAAAACTCGTATATTACAAATTTGTAAATTATTTATACGTTCTTGTCTACCTCAGTTACAGATTTTAGGTTCTATAAACTCTTGATGTTGTAAGACTTTGGTATCATTTAAATTAAGAGACATTTATGATGGTGTAGAATTTCAATATTTAATGAAGTTGATCTTATACATCGATCGTTAGTTTTCAAACTACAACTTCTTCGCACACAATTTTGGCGTCCTTGATATCTTAAAATCTTGAGCTTCAGGTTCGCGAACTTTTTGATTCGCCGAATCCTCGATCTGGTGATTCTTGCCCTTGGGAAAATATGATATATCTTAGAAAACCTTAAAATTTTACTTTAGAAGAACAAAAAATATTAAAAGTAAATTTGGATACTTTAAACTTTTGCTTAAGGTAAGCTTACTTGAAGAATTTGAAAGATTACTTCAAGTATTGTAAAAAGTATGTGATATAATTTATAATACCGTGTGTGGTTTTCTTCTTACGAGAAAGTGCTATGCCGCGCGAGCCTCTTGCGGGAGCTTCGACAGGCTTGGCTATCAAAAAATTACTTTAAGTGTCCAAAATTACTCTAAAATTTCTTAAATAAATTTCTAATTTCTTTAAATAGATTTGAAAGATTACTTTGGTGAAAATTTTAATTTCCATTTAAAGTAAATTTTCCCAAGGGTGGATTTACAGATTCTCGGTGCTGCAGAATTTTAGTCTCATTTCCCTCAGATTTGCAGAAGTCCGCTTTCGCAAATTCAGAGGCTCGTCAATGTGATAAATTCTGACAACTGTATTGCAAGTTTCACGAAGAATTGAACGTAGAATTTTGCAAATTCTAGCTGTCACAATCTCGTGACGCGGATCCTTGATTCTGCCGTATGATACAGATCTATTGAGGCATTTCTAATTTTTCACGAAGGCTACGTTTCGTCCTTAATTAACTAGGGTGTTGCCCGAACCGCATTAATATCGCAAATTAGACAAATTTCTGGGCGGATAAGGCCGGCGAGCCAATCGCGTGAGCGGCAGCCCTTCCGTTCATTCGCATTTCGGGGATGTGACGCGCGTCACGTGGCAGCCGATTGTTATGTACGTAACACGACAATCGGGCTGCACGCAGTGACACATAACATGAGTGGGAGTGACGACAATCGATTGTGCGACTGACGCTACATCGCCATGGTGACACGCGAAAACAAATACGCGCGATCGCATAGACACGCTGACCCACAGTAGGCCGCCACGAGTTCAGTGTGTCACGTGTACGACAGAAAAGGAGCGAGAGCTCCAGCCCTCGACCTGAACGAGGAAAGTGGCGAAGGCGCTCGCTAACGACGAATTCGCAGGTATCGAAAACCTCGAGGTCGCTCGTACGGCAGCAATTTGGCACGTGTCCAGGTCGAATTAGCTACCCCCCCGGATAGTTTTCTTTTAATCTACACCTGCAAACGCGTCAATCGAAATTACGATCAACGACAGAACGGCCGTTTACGATGCGACGAACATATATGTATATATATTTTTTCCATGTCAAAGTTTATCGAAGATCAAAGGATTTCTTATCCGAGATCTGAATTCGATCGTTGAATGTCAGAGGTCTATTAAAGATCATCCTGTTTCACTCGTATACAATCCTTGCTCTCTTTACATTTTTTCTTCTAGATATTAGTTTCTTCGAGAGGTGCACGTAGAATCGAAATTTCGTTAAGCTCAAATTCCCAGTTTCGATTTTCAAACGTTTAAAATATATCTTACGAAATTATAAAAAATTTCCGGGACTGCTGGCGTTCGGGGTTGATCCGCGTTCTTGAAGTTCGTTCGATCTCCGGGCTTTCTTGCAATTGTCCTCAGGGCCACGGCGGGAGAAGTAGTGCGCGCCTTTTTCAAGAGTGTCATAAAAAGTAGTTTATTCGGGAATAGTCTTTTATCAATAAATTTATGCCAATGTTTCGTGTAACGCCACTTACTGGGGCACATCGGCGCGACCCTCGCGTTACCTTGACCCAAACTCTGCAGTTCAGTGTGTCACGTGCACGAAATGGATCGAAACCGAGTTCAGTATTCTCCTGTCCAGGCGCGAGAGTTTTCTTCAACCCCCAGCGAGTTTCTCAATCTCTTTCGCAGACCGGAGATCACTTTTTCCGAAATTTCTCTTGCAACTTTCTTCCCCCGCAACCGACAAGTGTCTGAATTACCCCCCGTTCGCAATTAACATATTCTTTTTAAATTATTCTTTGTAATTTAATTTTGTCATCTCCACAGGGACAATGTAGTTGCAACCGTATGGAGAGGTAGAACAACATACGGAGCTCGCCATTCAACGAGATAAAATAGGAATTATATAAGACACATTATTATTTATCAACAAGTACGTTACACATCATATTATGATCACGTAATTATGACAAATTTATTGATCCACTCTATAATCAAATCTGGCTGTATATATGCTTATTACGCTGTAAATTCATCACCGGATTAATAAATATTGATTATTATTGCCTTGTGCGTTATTTATGACTGTAATTATAATGACTAATACGAATCTTAATAAGTATATCATATATACATAATAGCCAAGTGTATCACGAGTTTCAGCAAAACGAGACGCATGTGTAAGCAGATGCACATCAATCGTGCTTGCTTATTTGCGGAAGTGCATTATTATCTTCGTAATTATTTTACACGGCGGGGATAGGCAGTGCCACACAATTTCCATCCCGTTTGAGAAAACAGACATATCGACTTGGTGCAACATATTTTTCCACTGAGGCCAGTTAGATCGAAACCAATCAATTAGCATGGTATAAGCGCGATCGAATCTATCACGGGAAAACGGAGTAAACATACGCGAGTATAGGTATACGTGGAAAAAATACCGTTACGAACAATAAGTAGGTGAAACAAGGAGAACAGATATAGGTATTATTGCGTGTGCGCATTCATATGTTAATAAGAGCCCCGTAACGTATCCCGCGCGCGTAGTATTTTCTATGACATAAATTTAAATTGGCTGCAAAACTGCAGTCGTCACGCGCATTATCGTCCTACATAATAACACATAAGCAATTAACACAAATTGTTTTTCCTTTACAGACGTCCGCGTGGGGGAAAAAAACAATTCACGTCTGTTTCTCCTTCGATGTTTTCCGCATCCGCGTTTGTCGTGTCGAACGGGCACTAGTGCCGCGCGCGATGACAAACGGTGCCGTACAATTAGTTATGTTTCCGTATAGAATTGCTTCAGATAAAGACGAGTCGTTACAATTATTTACATATCTGGGCGCGGCACTTCGCGGGGCACTCGGGCACTCGCAGATTAACTTCGCGACAGTGTATCTGGCGCATAAAGCTTTCATGAGATTCGACATTTTTCTATTCTCGCGATGTGGGTCAGTGTCGACGGCGGGTGGTTCATTTACTTACGGCATGTTACAAAAGATCGCCCTTGTATCGCGCACGAATGACAGGACAGTTTATCAGGGAAATTAGCATTGCGACGTTGTTATCTAATACTTTATCTCCGTGGAAAAAGAAAGACATATTATTTGCAAGTGTAAAACGTGCAGCGCTGCAAAAGTGCGCAACGTTTTTAAGTTTTACTTGGGGTCTTTCAACAGAGATCTACTTCGACGTTTGCTTGTACGTGTATGTGATTTCACAGTTAAAAATTAAAAATTCAGCAAACGAAAGATGGGATATTTTTCGATGAAGTATTTGAAGAATTTAATCAAGATATCTTATATTACCTATTTCGCCGTTTCATTGGACGCAGGCTCAAAAAAAAAACTCGAAAATAGTTAAAATGTTACGTAGAGACAACGATTAGCAAATAACTTATTCATTGCCGTAGCCAATACTTAATGAGGAAATATACGTGTACACGACATACATACATATATACATATAACACGGAATTGCCGCGTGAAGAATGGAAAGAATGACGACCGGTGTGAAGAAACAGTTACATCAATTTACTATTATGAACAATACATCATGACATAAGACTCGCGCGCGTGCAAATCTTACAAGATTCGTTATATGATTAATACGTTCGTCCACAGATTATTTATTCTTCTTATCCATTTATCGCGCATTTGGATTTACATTCTGGTATAAGCTTCACGAAAATTTTCACCAAAAAGTATAACAATTTTCAAGAATTCAATAAACATTATAGGTATAACGGCAAACTAACGGAATAATTGCCAAACGTGAGTGGACATGATTTTTCAGAGATACCCCAACGCGAAGACAAAAACCTCTGAGATTTGACGAGACACGCGTTATTTACTATCGTAACTGCTCGCGAGATTTCATAACTTACGCTGCATTAGTGGTAAAATAATCTTGACGATTAAAAATACATATATATATATATATATATATACCTAACGATATACGAACGATATCGAGCGTAATTAAATGCATGATTCAAACTTGACTTTGCTGACCACGTGAATTACGACTGTTTTCTTTCGTTATAATTACACACATCACTGAACCGCAAGATTGTGCGATATCCATAATAGAGTACGTGGATTTTTACTGCAGTCTTATAAACAAATCTCCTCGGCAGAAATATCATAACAAATTTACGTTTAACCGTTAAACGTTTAGGAAATTAAATCATATCGCGTGGATTAGATAAAAAAAGAGCATTTTGAATGTTGTATTATTCATCAAATTTAAACGGAGAGATCGGTCAACACTTTTACGCGATGAATGGTCTTAGATCGGGACAAGGTCTACGGTAATAGTAAGGAAACCCGCAATTTGCAACATATGGAATTATGTAAAATGTCTTCCAAACCTTCGAGGAGGGATATCATAACGTTTGTGTTATATTTTCGCAACAGTTACAATGTATGCTGATTATTCTAATTGTGCTCTATTACGGCACAATGTTACTCAACGTGGCAGCCATTTTTAATGAATCTAAACCAATTTTATCACTGAGTAACATTTCAATGTCATAAGGTTTTTTTATCTGTGAACTTGAATCTACTGTTTTTAGACTTATAACGTCACAAGTAAATTGTGTCAGAAAAGTTAATAATAAATAGAAATATCCATCAGATGTATAAGAAATCTTATCTTTCAAATAATATATATGTAGGTAATAGATTAAACATTATTACAAAATGCAATAGAAACAAGCCATTATTTAAATTTCAAATAGAATACGAGAAACTAGAACAAAAATATTATATTTGATTCATAACGGGCTATTGTTGCTGAGCTGTTGCATTTGAGAAGCAACAAAAGCTTGTTACAGATTTGCCAAAAGTAACCAAATAAATAATTTAACATTTAATAGTTTTGCCTGTGTTATTTAAAATGAAATTTTTGAAAGACACAATAGAAAAATATATGTTTCTTACCCAATACTTGACAAAATAATTTTACTTCACGCATTTAAAATATACCTGTAGTCTCTCTAATAGAAAATTAATCTTTATTTAAAATAATTTATTAGTAACATATTTTGTATTTTTAATTAAAATGTCGCATTTGTCATGTTGTAAGCTTGTTTTCAGAAAATTATTAAATTATTTGCATATTTACGAAGTTATATGACGTTGTCAGATAATTTTAGTGAAACAACGCCGTGCAAATCGACCACCGGTTGCATCCCACCGAAGAACTCACCTTTAGTTGGTCCACCGAGATGAGGGCTGCTTGCTGAAACACTTTGCTGAGGTGTTCTAGGACGTTACTACCGCGATCTGCGATACTAGCTCGGTGGTGGCTAGCTCGCGATACTTATGTACGGAAGCTTTTCAGCGCAAGCGTCACTCACCTCCCGCTGGCCGGTTTCCACCTCTTCATGATGGGCACGATTATCCCCCACGATCGTGCGTCCATCGTAAATCGTTACATGTCGGAAATTCTTCTCGCGATGCCCGCGAATCATGCAAATTGGACACGCGGGAATCGGGGGACCGAAGATACTCGCAATCATGTACCCCACGAAATGAGATGTTCGCGTAATTGAAAATGGGTCTATGTAGGTCAGTGTATCTTCGTAATGCCGGAGGAACCCCTTACTCTGTGAAAATAGATTTGTGATGCAACTGAAGATCAAAGCCGAAACATTTTTGTACATTTTTTTTGCTGTATTGAACGGTAACAGTTCTCAATATTAAGGTTCAAACTCATACGAACTCTGTAAGCTATAGAACTTTAAGAAGAAGACTTGGGATTTGCGATATTACAATTTCAAAGAAAATATGCAATTTCAAGGTTTAATGAAAATAAAGATATGTGATTTCAAGATCTCGTGAAACTATAACGAGGGAAGATATTCAGATGTAACGCGCATTTTTATTTATTTGTTTATTCTTTTTCTTATATATACTATAGTAATTTTCTTCATCTTTATTTCCTTAAACTGATTGTATACACTTAAAATAATTAGATATCATAAGTTGTTCAAGTTCGAACGAGTGATAAAGACACGAGAATAGTTGCGATCTAATTACAAACTATTTTTTTTAGTTAGCTCATTTTCAATATTATTATTATTATCTTCTCTGTTATTTTTATCTTCTCCAGTTTTTATGTCTTCTATTATTTTTAATAGAAGACATTTATCATTCTTACCTTTTCTTTTTATTTTTATTAAAATGGTAATATTAGTAAATATAATAGGAGAAAGGAATTATTTTGAAAAGCGCAACCATTTAAAACATTAAAAATCATCGTTTAAAACATTTTTTTACACAATGAATAGTTACGTATTAACTGATATTTTTTGCAAAGTCGTATCTTGATTTTACACATAATTTCCGGTTTTTCTGTAGAAACACTCTTTTTTTTAATGTTTAAGCAAAAAACCGAAAATTGCATAAGATCGAGATACGACTTTGCGAAAGAGATCAGTCGATATATTGTAGAAATAGATGATATATACAGGATGTCTCATTTTTAATGATCCACGCAAATATCTTCAAAAATATGAAAGATACGGAAAAACGTTTCAAACAAGAGTTGTTTGGTTCGAAGAGGGACATAAGAAAAGTAGTACAGGACTTTTTTTTACTTGATTTGGTCTCGGGAATATTGCAATAGTGTTCCAATTACTGAAAAATTTTCAATAATTGGAGCACTATTATTTAACTCTTTTAGATTTTAATAATCTTATAGAAAGATTATGTTTCTTATTTTCCAATATCCTACAGTTCTATATCAGTTTGCGCCAAAGATGCGTGTAACACCCGAATATATAGGCAATTCTTCGTAAGACATTCGATAAACGTATAAAATGTTATTACCAGGATACTAACGATCTAGAGTAAATAACAATGACGTGATTATTTTAGAAGATGACTCTTAACGTACCATTATTCAGAATATATATCTTTGTCTCACGCGAGTCAAAATACTTTTTTTTCAGGCATACTGACAATGAGATTTACCTCGTTAAAACACGCGAGCGAAGGATAAAATAAATCCAATTTTGCGCACAGCGATGAAGACCAAGTACGTGCGCCGAAAAG